TTTTGTAGTTTTAATCAAGAAAGGACTTGCATCGCTGAAGTTTATTGGAAAGAATTTCTACGGGAAATTAACAAACAAGCAGATGCTTAACAATATATTCAAGAGCCTAAAATAATTTAACTTGTTAGTTTACTAGTATGGTCTTCATCTCTCAGTGGCAACTGTAGATAAATTGAGAATATATCTCAGTTTATTCAGGTATATTGAGGTAAATATTTAAAGTTTTTGTGCAGGTTTTCTGAATGTACTTAGCGAAATCCTCATAACGCGGGTGAACGAAGGTGATAAATTTGCAATAACTTTTTATTTTACACGAAAATTGTATTATACAGTAACTGTTCCATAAATCTTATGTTTGCTTGACCCTGTTTCTGAGTCATACCCTGCTGCAGTGGGGTTATACTCGTTTTAGGAATGGCACAGAAACTAGAGCAAGTTAGTATGAGTTTGGGGTTAGTTCTCTTCAATATGTTTAATCAGTGACATAAATCATCTAAAAATTGCGTCGTATTTCATTATTCTTGATACTGTTTTTACCCAGGGTGAAAGTTTTAAGTTCAATTTGCTCTCAAACACAGTAACCAGTAGACATTATTGAACAAACCGGAAGTTGACCAGTAAGTTACAAGTTATTTTATCTGAATAAATATTTTTATTTTTTTTTGTATTCGAAACCATTCTTCGTTTAACATTTTCGGGTGTCAGTGTACCTGAATATTACATGTTTAAAGTAAACGTTGGTTAACTCTCAAATTACCGACTTGTTTTTTTTTTTATATTGCTTCATATTTAGTAAGGTTTAGTTTTTGCCTTTTACGACAGTCAGTGTAAATAACTGACAAAAAATACTGCGTGAACCCATTTATTTCTACATACATAGGGACCCCCTCCCCCCCCCCCTCCCGTCAGTAATGACAGAAATTAACAACGATTCTGATGGTATTTTGTGTTTGTATTTTTTGTGTGACTCTTACATGATTAGGGGTCCGGTGTCCAATAAAGTTACGTGAAGCTCCATTGTTCTTTCCAGGATTAAGTGTTGTTTAAATGAATCGTTACAAGCCTGAATACCATACTTTACATCTTCTATTTATAAAGGCAATCTTTGAGGTTAAACAATCTTAACGTACTAAGAAAACCATCAAACAAGCTGTATATTAGCGTAAAAGATGATGCAGTTTGGCAAGTCCTTCATTCCCAGAAGTTAGCTAATCACGAAGCTATACGAATTATACAACGACGCTCTGTTTTATATACACGACTCCAAAAGTAGTAGCAAGACAACATCTACACAGTTTACGTAGTTCACAACGTAAGAAATCTTAAAACAACAACATAAAATAACACACAAAAAAGCTTTTGAATGTTTCTACATATTTTCGGTTGCTATAACTTGAGGAGAACACTACAAATCCTTCGTCTACTCACTTGGAGAATCCTACACTTTCTGCATCCGACAACGTTAGAGGAACCTCCGGTTTCCGAAATCAAATTACGCATAGAATAATATAATATAAACTTTGGTGTATTGTTGGATTTTAGTTTTCTCAACTTTGTCTTCCCTGTCCTCCTTCGATTTTCCGGACTTCTTCCTGGTGATGGTGTACACGATCTTTGTCCAGCTCGAGTTGTGACAAAAACTTAGATGTTAGTTTGTATCTTTAGATTATAAGTGTAAAGCTACACAATGGATTATCTGCACTATGTCTACTACGGGGAATCGAACCTGAGATTTTCAGATTTCTAAGTTTTTTAACCTACCGTTGATCCACTTAGATTGTAATAAACGTGGCTCTTATTATAATAAATTCGATATCAATTTCTGTATGGCGGTTGTTTTGACTTTTTAGTCGACAATCAAAGCTGTCTTATGATGTTCACTCGAGAAAGAAATGGTTTATGTGTTGATATAGATTTTTATTGACAGGATATTGTAAGTTTCTTAAGAGTTATTCCAAAGTGACATCAACGTTAGATTTATTTTTCTTAAATGTTATCATAAGTATTAATTAAAACGTTTATGACAATAATACAGTTAACATCGCGAAGCAGGAGAAAACATTACAATTTTGTGACACTCTGTTGTGCATTGCCCATATTTAGTTATTTCAGTGTAGAACAGACCTTCGAAAGAAATGAACCGTTATTATTAACCCTGATGATAATGATCTGGATAGTCATTTATATGTTAATAAAACAACAAATATTGCCTAAATGGTTAGTGTCAAATTTAAAACATTCTTAAGAAAGTATTTATTAAGTTTTAATCAAAATATGAAAACAGATATATAAGTTCAATCTGATTTATAGGCTGAACGTAGCCAAACAGTTAGTATGTTAGGTTGTGTATCGAAGGGTCCGAGGTTCAATATGTGATGCCATGGGACACCTTCAGTTCAAAGAGCCGAAAAAAAAATACCCTGAGGCGGCAGATTATGTTGGCTTGCTGCCTGGCCTGTGGTCAGTTATCGATAGCTCCTGACGAAGCTGTAATAGCGAAATAATGAGCAAATGATGGTACGTTCTGGAGATATAGGTCGTTATTTTGTTTACAATAAACTTCAGTTTTATTTGACGTGCAGTAAAATGTTTGGTAGTGCCAGTATGAATGAATCTGTATATACTTAAACGTTTGCACTTATTTTACTTTCAAAAATATATACTGTCAGCTTTTCTCAAGGTTGATTTTTACCAAAACTATCAAACAAAAGGCCATCAAGTAATGGATGATTGTGCATTGAGAATTAAAACAAAAACAGTTTGTTTACTACAAAATATTCATCAAACTATCCTTATTTTTCCATTGTCCTGTTTCTCCTAAAAACTACTAAGACAAGACTGAAATATTCTTCACATTTCACGGTCATGTAGGAGACAGGAGGATAAAGTTCGTGTTCATGTTTCAGCTAATGATCTCTTCATTGTTTCTCTTCTAATTAGTCAGACGATAATATCAACGAAAAATGTACAATATCTGTCTGATATGTACAGTAGTTTTAGTCGTAGGTGATGCCAGAAAAAGGATCTTATTATTAAATTAAAAATAGCTGGCTTAGTTGTTACATAGTACAACAATATGGCTGTGGTATTACTATGCGCTAGGTCGGCTGACATTTGCTTAAACTACATCTTCCGGCTGTTCTAAGTTAAACAAAACAAAACAACAACAAAAAAAAACAGGACAGTCTTTCATAAAAGGTGCTTTCCCAGTCACGTGGTTATGTTCGTGTATGTCAGTTCAGTACATGCAATAACAAAACATACCGACAGAGCATTAAGAGCTAGTAATTAGGAAATGGTTATGTATAATCACTGGGAAAGAGTTTAAGAAGGATGTTGCAGACATAACAAAAGAGGGAGTGAGGAAGGCCACTGTGAGTATATTAAATATATTCTTTAGGTAAGGCGAATTAGGGTAAAAGTAAGAATTACACAACTATCTTATATAAATTGCGGTGATAATCAATATACATATAAAAGCCAAGTGTCAGTCGGTCACGCTCGATTTCTCAGAATTTCGTGAGTTACACGAATCCAATTCCACTTTTTCTCCTATAATACCTCTTCTTTTGATTGCCAGTTCCTATTTTTGATGAATTTAATCGCTAACATAAGTGTAAACAGCTCCTAAATTTCGGCATTTTTTCTGCTATATAAAAACCTGTCAAGGAGGTAGTTCCCAGGACCAGATCAGGCATGGCGTTATATATGTGAAACCACATAATCCATATCATTATGACGTCAAGCAAGGTAGGATCTGGGTAGGAAAGCCGGGAAGACTCCTGTGAAAAATGAGTCAAAAATTATCGCAAATCTGTGCTTGGGAATAAATGAAAACAAATTAAAGATACCAATTATCTGTAGGGATGAGGACGACTTTTCCTCGGAAGAAGAACATGTGTGTATGCATTCCACAGTCATTGTATGTTTTGATCTTTTATCCAAAAGCACCAATATGTAGCATGTTTGCTCAGTTATATGTAGTGGATTCAGGAGCAATATGTAGTATGTTTGCTCAGTTATATGTAGTGGATTCAGGAGCAATATGTAGTATGTTTGCTCAGTTATATGTAGTGGATTCAGGAGCAATATGTAGTATGTTTGCTCAGTTATATGAAGTGGATTCAGGAGCAATATGCAACATGTTTGCTCGGTTATATGTAGTATGTTTGCTCAGTTATATGTAGTGGATTCAGGGGCAATATGTAGTATATTTGCTCAGTTATATGTAGTGGATTCAGGAGCAATATGTAGTAAGTGTGCTCAGTTATATGTGATGGATTCAGGAGCAATAATCCTGGGAAAGGAAATTCCATATTTCTTTTGTGTATTGCCAGTTTTACACGAAATAGTTTTGGTTACGGGCTTTTACGCTAGTCTGTCATAAAACACATGATTAATTAGTTTTTTATTTGTTCATTAGACAACAACAAAGAGAGTAAACGTAAAAGGTAAAAAATCAAAGAGAAACTTCCAAACTTAAAGGATAAACTTATTGGTATGAACGAGGTTTTAAATATACAATAAAAACATTCACAGCAAATGAAAATGTTAATCTATGTAATGCTAATGCTGGTGACATGACAAAACAATGAATAATAGTAATATTTATCAACTATATGACATGCATATCCCAAACTTACTGTTAAAAGACGGAGTTGCTCACATAGCTAGAAATATTACACGAAAACAAACAAAAGTTATTAACACCAATTTCGGTTTCTCTTGGTATTTCTAATGTATGTTTTACATGATCTCTTTTTCTTTGCGTATTTTACAGAAGAGGTTTATATTGTTAACGTATCATGGAGATAATATCTCGTATCTCTAAGAGAGCATATATCAAAATAGGGCAAACTGCGACGTTATGATAACGAAAAAAAAAGGTACATGTACTTTTGAAATGAGATACTGACTCTACAATCATACTTGAATAAACGTTTGTTAGGACAAAAATCTTTGATTCATTAATTGCCGTCTCTCTATCTATCAATCTGAATCACTCACGTTAAGCTCAATGATTGGATGGTCGTAACGAAGGTTACTACTTAAAGTTCGTCCAGAAAACATCGTAATACTGCATAAGTTACCGCCTGCTCTATCTTGTTGCGTTCACTCGCTCAGGGCACTCCATACCATTAGGACAAGAAAGGGTTAAGTATACCATATTTCTTTTCTTAGTAATGCTGATAGTCACATCCGTACCGACATACTTAAGTACTCAACAGTGTGGGTGTAGTTAAAGAATACTTAGTTATAACAATATGTTATTGCCCAAAACAATATACTGACAATACTTCATTGAAATAATGTTAAACTTTAGCTACGAGCGACGCCTGACGCACTCCATGCCCACAACTAATGTTATATCCACCGTCCCTATTTTGGGGTATACTATAATAATTGACACTAACCGTTTACATTCACTTATTCTGTAAATAAGTAAATATTTTTAACAAAATACTTTAAAAGTACAGGTTATTAATATTGGAACTGAATCTAAAGGAAGAAACTAAAAATGACACTATCGTTAACAGAACTTATGTTAATTGACAATAACTTTTTTCAATCTAACAATGCTTGGAGACGGCTTGAATGGGTAATAAAGAAAAACTTTAATATAAGTTTAACATAACAGCAAATGTACAACGTTTCGATAAGGTTTTGTCATCATCAGGTACAAGTAGTTTACACTGACACAGATATATATATATATATATATACAGTATAGAACAAAGAGGTCACATGACCGGATACTGTTGCAAGTCTTAGAAGAGATATCTTGACACCCTAGAGTGTTGATTTAAGAGTAGGGTTGTTTTGTTCAATTTAGACGGTTTCCTTGATTTTTCGTTTGGTTCTTTGTTTAAAATTACTGTGTTTTTAATAGATATACAATGTTTTTTTTTAGTTGCAATGCTGGAAAACATGGGACGGTTTTTTTATTGTATTCAAGCCGTCTCCAAGCATTATTAGTCTCAAAGTGGGTCCCTCGTCATCGAATTTGTTTTAGTCTGTTGGAAATAACGTTGATATTTACTTTTCTTGCAATTAGGAACTAAGTGAAAACAATGTCTGATACAAGCAAAAGTACACGAATTGGGGACTTGGATGCTTATTTAGAGGAGTGCTTCCGGGAGAAACCAGCTGAAGAAGTTGAAAACTTTTATGGATCATGGGCAGAGACTTATGATGAGGTACGTTTATATGTTTCTATCCAACTACCACAATCTATCTTCTTTACTTTCATTAGTTCAATCTTTGAGATTCTCGCACATTTTAAGAATGAATTTAATACATTGGCATAATAGAGCTGTTATACTGTAAACCACGAAATTTCCGTGGTATAATTTTGGTTCAGTGACTGTCAGTCGCTAAAGTTACTATCAAAAATGATGTTGTTTGTTATTAAACACAAAGCTACACAAAGGGCTATCTGTGCTCTGCCCACCACGGGTATCGAAACCCGGTTTCTAGCAGTATAAGTCCGCAGACATACCACTGTGCCACTGGGGGGGCCTCAAAAATGAAACTTGCTCTAAAGTTAAGAAATATTTTATTTGTTGTTAAGCACAAAGTTACACCGGGGGCTATCTGTACTGTACCCACCACTGGTATTGAAACCCGGTTTTTAGCGTTATAAATCTTCGCACTGACCGATGAGCGACTGGGAGTGATATTTAAGCAACATGTTTCTTGTTTTGTCAGGAAACATAAGTTCTGTATTTAGAGCCAAGTTGATCTCTGCCTTAACTAAAGATCAGATGAGTTTGCTTTTAAATCTAAGTTTAAAGGTATCCAATGCGTTAGTACTATATACAATGGTGTACTGTACTTTTTTATGTGATTAAAGTACGTGTATTTGTAAAATAAACTTACACTGTAAATATATTATTTTAATGTGTGAACTTGCATGTTTCAAATGCTGTATTTGAAAATAATAAAATTCATATTTTTAATGGTGACTTAAAAATAAAAATATGTATTTTGTGATGTGGAGATGCTATATAAACTATAGATAATTTATAAATTGTATCTTTGTGACTCAGATGTACCACTTGGCTATATGATAGAAACTAATAAGTGGCTGGTAATTATAAACAAACTAGCAGAGACCCACAAAACATTTGCGGCCAAATTACTATCTTTATTGCAATAGTACTTTTTTAAATACAGGATTTCTAGAGTAATACAAAATAATTCTAATCGCATGAGGCCCGGCATGGCCAGATGGTTAAGGAGCACTCGACTCGCAATCTGAGGGTCGCGGGTTCGAATCCCCGTCCCACCAAACATGCTCGTCCTTTCAGCCGTGGGGGCGTTATAATGTGACGGTCAATCCCACTATTCGTTGGTAAAAGAGTAGCCCAAGAGTTGGCGGTGGGTGGTGATGACTAGCTGCCTTCCCTCTAGTCTTACACTGCTAAATTAGGGTCTGCTAGCGCAGATAGCCCTCGTGTAGCTTTGCGCGAAATTCAAACAAACAATCTAATCGCATACGTTTAAATCTATAAGTCCACTTGTCCTAGTCGTAATATTAGTTAAGTTCGGCCTAAATTCGATAAAGAGATAAATCAACACTGTAACTTGTGTACGTTTTTTGCTTTAATTCAGTTAGGGCTAAACCTTACCGCACTTAATACTATCAATAAATAATATTCTAGTATTATTGTACGACCTAACGTTAGAACCTTTTTAAAAACTTTGATAAGCTTTTAATATGTTGTATAAAATGTCTACCAAAGTATATTTACGTCCTTTCTGGCGTAACTCGACGAATTAACAAAGATACGTTTTCAAATTGCTAAAACGGTGCATTTTTTTGGACATTTTAGTCCAAATATATCTTTAATTGTCGTTCAATCGTACTCGCTTCTAATTGACAGGAAGCCAAACTATTTAAATTACGTTATAAGTTGCTATGACATCATTGTGTGACCGAGACACAGACAGACAGATACACACTGTGTTATCTATATACTACTAAAACTCTGAGATTGTTTGTTTGTTTGCTTGTCTGTAATTAAATACACAAAAAAAATGAAATGAGAATAGAAACAGAATAAAACAAGTTTCGTTAAAATCGGGCCACGGGTTACCGAGTTAGCGCCGTTTTTCGGGTCACTTTTATGAAAATTTCTAGCATGAGTAATTTTACATCACACTACTGTTCGCGCTCTTTACGAAACTTCTTCGTTCAAATCTATTTTCCTGTCAATGTTCCCATCTTCATTAAAAGGCATAAGATGACAAAAACAAGATCTTGAAGAATTTCCCAATAATGTGCCTTGCTTATTGTAGGTAATTCGAAGGAAAAATAAAGTGTTACTGTTTCATATTTGTAGAAGGTTTAAGAGGAAAGAACACAACATAATGAACTAATTCATCACAATACCTGAAAATTCTGACTTCACTTTTTTGAAAAATGAAATTGTCTTTCTTTTTACTCGCGATCAGCAATCAAATATCTTTTCTTTAATTATGAATAACATGAATGGATTGAAATATTTAATTAAATTATCAAAATAAACCTTCATTTCGGTGCAATATTGAAATTAGCTTGAATTCTTCATAACCTCTGAATAGTGGGTGACCCACGGGTTGTCTAGTGTAGTATTAGCTATGTATACCCAACAAACTAATGAGGTGTGTGAAGTCTTATTCTTCTAACATACAGATGCCTTTATATTTTTATGTGCATTTTTTAGGAAGTTTCCCTCTTCAATTACAATGGACCTAAACTGATAACTGAAGCTTTCGCAAAGTTAAACGTACCAGAAGATGCGGAAATCATTGATATAGCAGCTGGAACTGGCAATGTTGGAATAAAAGTAGGTAAAAAAGTAATAATATGATTTACAGAGTTAGCATCATTTACGTATTTTTAAATCTTTGTTGAAATTAAATTTCCTCATACGTTTTCTTATTGATAGCATAGACCTTTGAGGGTTGACTAAATATTGTATAAGTTATAAATAATGCCTTGCAGATAACCATGTAAGCTTTCTTCCACAAAAAAAAAACAAACGTAAATTTTCAAAAATATCACTAAACACTACTGAATAATTTTTATTCGTCGATTAAATAGCTTAATTATGCAAGAAAGATTCTAGACAAAACATAATTTCAGTTTAGGGTTAAACACGTGATAAGTGTATTGCTCCTCAAAATCTCAGGAGCCCGAGCGTAGCCTAGCAGTTAGCGTACAGGACTTACAATTCCAGAATCCATGTTGGAGTCCCGTTACTGAAAAATCGCTCTCCACATTTTCGTGTCATATATGCGTTATGAGAGTGACGGTCAAATCCACAGTTCGATTGAAATATCCCAAGACTTAGTGGTGGGTGCTGTTGTCTATCTGTTTGCCCTCTAGTGACTAGTTTATCAGTTACGACTAACGCGGCTATCTTTGGACGATTAACCAAAAGAAACGTATTTGTCATTTATTTGTCCATTTTAACGAAACAGTGATTAAGACAGAGCTCAACATTCCTAGTCGTTTAAACAATATTTAAAACACACACATCAGGCAGCCTTATTGCACTGTTTCTAAGATGTATTTATTATATTGACATGGAAGGTTTACATTAGGTTTTCTACAGAATAAAATGTCATAGGTGGTTACGATTATTTTAGAAAGAAGAGTATTATTCTTGTTAATTTCTTTATAGTTTGTTTTGTGGTGGGGTAACAAACTGAAGTTGAACACGAGTTTATGTTCAGAAAAGAAAGAAAAAAATTGCTATTTTCACCCATCTTCGAATCCAACATCATTAGTTCAGATAAATATTGTGTTGACCAATTTGTTTCTAGTTAGTTTTTTTTTTTAGCGGAGGGAGGAGATAAATCCAGATTATACTAAAGATACACCCTGCATGACGTAACATTTCATATAAATCTAGAAATAAAGGTACCATTTCAAACAGTCTACAACAAATAGTTCATATAACTTTGCTCAGTATGTTAAGACCATTTGTGCGTAAAAAAAAAGAAAATTTCCACTTTGATGTAAAATTAATAGTCATTTTCAGTAAAATAAATAATAATACAATAAAAATATTTTAAAATTTTGTCCGATCAGTTATTTAATGCTTTTACAACACATGAATACCTATGAAACTTTTATAGCATTCTTATCCAATATATCTATTTGATCAAAGTTCACAAAATTCAAATTAAGATAAACCTGTTCGTGAGGTTTGGCATTTCGTAGTGATTTTTTTTAGAATAGCCTAGTATGATATTAGTTATAATTATGTGAATTCATTCTGATATATTAAAGGTCAAAGAGATAAGTTACGTTTAGTTTTCTAATTTTGTGAATTTTTGTTATTATGTTACAGTTGAAAGAGATGGGTTACAAGAACATCGATGCTTTGGATGGAACAAAGAAAATGTTGGAAATTGCACGAAAAAAGAACGTCTACAGGAATTTTTATCATATGTTTTTGGGTTGTGGTAATAAGTCACCGATTAAGGATGGTATGTTCTAGTTGAAGTTGAACTGGTAGGATAAAGGTTTATACCGTTCTGACATGCTAGTTAACAGATAAATTTGATCAGGTTCCTTAGGTTGCAAGCAGAAAGAATAAAAGATCATCAAAAATTCACCAGCACACATATTAGAAAATTTAAAAAAGAGGAACATGAAAGAATAAAAAATTATCAAAAATTCACTAGTACACGTATTATGAAATTAAAAACAGGAAAATAAAAGAATAAAATATCGTCAAAAATTCACTAGTACACGTATTATAAAATTAAAAACAGGAAAATAAAAGAATAAAATATCATCAAAAATTCACTAGTAAACGTATTATAAAATTAAAAACTGGAAAATAAAAGAATAAAATATCATCAAAAATTCACTAGTACACGTATTATGAAATTAAAAACAGGAAAATAAAAGAATAAAATATCATCAAAAATTCACTAGTACACGTATTATGAAATTAAAAACAGGAAAATAAAAGAATAAAATATCATCAAACATTCACTAGTACACGTATTATGAAATTAAAAACAGGAAAATAAAAGAATAAATGATTCAAAAATTCACTAGTTTGTTTGAATTTCGCGAAAAGCTACACGAGGGATATCTGCGCTAGCCATCCCTAATTTAGCAGTGTAAGACTAGAGGGAAGGCACCCAGTCATCACCACCCACCGCCAACTCTTGGGCTACTTTCTTACTAACGAATAGTGGAATTGACCCTCACATTATAACGCCCCCCACGGCTTGAAAGGGCAAGCATGTTTGGTGTGACGGGGATTCGAACCCGCAGATTGCGAGTCGAGCGCTCTAACCACCTGGCCATGCCGGGCCCAAATTCACTTGTACACGTATTATGAAATTTAAAAACGGGAAAATAAAAGCGGTAAAGGAGGCCCCTCTTTTATATTGCAAATAAACTTAACGAAGTAGTATTCGATAGGAAAATCATACAGAGATGAAAGACGTCAAATAAGAGTCTTCAAACAGAATATGTATGATAATAAAATAGCTAAATCAAGGATATGTAGAATTAGAAAATAAAACTATAGAACGTTTTAATAAGTAATTGCCGTCATCAATCAGACCGATAAAATCTAAAACCTCCGAGAAGGCAGCTAAACAACAGCGCCCACCGCTAACTCTTAGACCACCCTTGGTTATTCAAGTAATATAGTTTGACCGTGACTGCTATAGCGCATTCAAGGCCATAACGTGCGGTGCGCGTTTTGGGGACAACGGGTGACAAATAAAACAAAACGGTATCCTGTGATGTTTTCACTATTTTAATACATCTCAGCTCAGTTTTGGAAGAAAATCTTAGCTAAAGTGAAAAGTTATTTCAAATGTGAAGTAAAAACGTTCTGTTAATTACTGAAGGAAAACAAACAAACATAGAGGCTTTTAATTTTACCTCCTTGATAAAGAATCTCATGTTATTAACATGTTATGATTAGTTTTTTAAATCCGTCTGTTTAGTTTTTAAATATTACTGGTCCTATTTATGTTTAAGTACCGCATATATGAAGGAAAGTTAACTCTTTGTATTAATGCGAATTTTTATTCTTTAATCATACATTTCCAGTTTTTAATCGTTCTACAATTGTAAAATTATATTTCTGGGATTTCGTATTCTGTAGAATAAAAAATATAATTCAAAGTTAAGTTCCAAAAAAACACACAAAAAAAACTCGCAGTATGTTAATTACTTTTATTATATTTTGTGACGGTTTGTTTATTCAAATTTACAAGTGAAAGAGTTAAACATGTTATCAAAACACACACAAGTAGTAGAAATCCTTCGGTGATTTCCTTTAAATGTGGCAAAGGTAACTGGTGTAAAAAATTACTGAGAATCTTGAATTATCTATCAGTTAAAACTTACGTTATTTTTTATCTTGAAACAGCAGAAATATTATATTTTCACGAGATAATAAGTATTTTCAGGCCTCTTTATGAAAAATTTCTATTGTGAGTTTCTTTTCTTAACACATATCTGTATACATTTCATTCCACAATCAGTGAAAGTGGGAACAGCATTCCTAAACGCGTGCGTTTTCAGTTATTACTTTTCAATCACATAAAAGTAGTATATATATATATATATTGTCTTATTAGAACTCTTAGACAGTGTAAATATTGCAGGGGCAGAACTTATCATGATATAATCCTGACTTGGTTCCTTTTGTGAACGGCGTTTTAGACATTCTGCTGAAGTAGATCTGACTTAGGCCACACTAAATGTAAACCGTTCTAACGTTAAGAAAATAAAATCACAAAGTACGACTGAGTAATACTCAGTCGATTGTGAAATGTTTAAAAGTTTGATCTTTGATTCAGATAGGATTTATAATTTGTCGAATCATAATATGTATTTCCTCTTGTATCTGCAAGAGGAAATTACTTCATAATTACTAAACTCTCTAAAGTAAATTCATATTTACTTTCTTGATCGAGATCTTTGGTGTTTAGATTTGTTTGCTGTACTAATTAAAAAAAGAGCTGTCTTGTTATTGTTATTGCAGCGAATATTTTACTTATTCAATCGACATCTGTATGTAATAACATAACTTTTAGGTACTTACGACGTTGCAATTTCGTGTGGAGGAATTGGTCCAGGACATATTCCATACAGTGCTTTCCATGAGGTTTTAGCAATGGTGAAGCAAGGTACGTTATATATTCGTATGTTTCGGCCATTACAAATGATTTATATACGATAGGTAAAACTTATGAAATGTATTGTTGGTAAAACTGAAATCGTTTTAAATCGTTAAAAACATTAAGTTACATAATGTTTTTAGAACATATTTAATATCCAATTGTTTGAAATGGATTAAAGTTAAAAGTTAAATAAATTATATCATTTCTTTAAAAAACGTTTTTTTTGTTAAGCATAAACGAAATCCGTTTTTTTTTCTGCGGTGGGAGCCTGCAAACTTACAGCTGAGCTATTGAGGGGGCTAAAAACATTTTTTTTATGTCGATATATATATATATATATATATATATATACACTAATTTATACAAACATTTATTTACGATAAAGGCATTAACTCAATATGCATTTGAATATAAATATTTCCTTCTGAAATATTTACAGTAACACTATTAAGTTGTATTTAAAGTTCAAAATATCCATGGATATTTAAACACAAGTTATTTGAAAGTTTTTGAAAAACCGTCAATTACTGTGTTTTTCAAGCACTTTATATTTTATCAATATTGTTTTTACATTTATTTATCAGCAAATTTCAGTGTATCATATGAAAATATGTTTCGGATTTATTAATACATTTTTTCAAAAGTTTTCGCCATATTTATTTTTTAAGCATTTTTTTTACAGGGGGCTTAATCTGTTGGCTGACTGTAAATCCTAATGAAGGGAAAGAAGAAGAAAGTTTCAAGAATTTGATGGCTGAGTTAACAAACAACGGAAAATGGAAAGCCGTTCAAGATCCTATTCGCTTCGAAGAATTTTTCAAAAAAGAATTTGCACTTTTTCATGTAATGAAAAAACTGTAACTTCCGTAATCGTCTGAATGTTAGAGATAAAAAAAAAACGTTTAATATTTCAGCTCTAAATCTCGCTGTGGTGTTTCATAACATATACTTATATACTTTCTCTTTGGAGATAACATTACAAAATATAAAATTAATGACAGTTATAAATTATAGAAAAATTGTCTTTTTTTTCATGCTATAAATATTTTGACAATGAGTTATAGCTAAATTTTTGTGATGAATAAAGATACAGCAACGAACATTTGACACATATGAGACGGAAAGAGATATTTAACACTTGAACATTTCGGAATTTAGAGTCGACTCTCTCAAGCGTATTTCTCTGTCATTATGAGCGTTCTTGGCTGGATTACATGTCCCATGAATACAAGCCGGCTATATACAGAAGATATGTTGATGGCACATTTTTACTTTTTCGAAGCTCTAATTACAGTAAAAATGTCCTTGGATTATTGAGATTATAAGCACTTTAATATTAAGTAACCAGTTTACAACATCAATTTATTGTAAAAAATAAAAACATATCCAGGCTTACATATTCACTGACAGTTTTATTCCGGACTCATTTAAACGTAACCTTATATTCAATCTTTTCATTAGATCGTGTAGTATCTGATCTCTTGCTTCATAGCGAAATAACCAACATACGGGTTATTAAGAATCGTGTTAAACTACAAATGATATTCAAATTACCCTTTAGGATTCAACATCTATTTAGATCTAAAAAAAATGTTACCTACTCCTATGCGTTCCCGGATCGTGTATAAATATACATGTGGTGGATGTAATGATTCTTACACTGGCAAGACAATACACTTGCGAACCTGCGAACACATAGGAGTATGAAGCAGACCTAGAAAACAGTTCTAAGATAGTCCAGTTTCCACAAAGCAGCAACCGCCTTGTTTTTATTAAATAATTTCAAAGTAGTCTCATCTGGATTGACAACTAATTAACTGATTTTAATTAAATAAACTCTCCCATTACTATGGTGCTGTTGTCGCTGTACTTTTATTCATCACTAAACTTCTATTGCCGTCTAATTAATCCGTTGCTAAACTGTAATGATGCAATTTAATTTGAAATTCTAGAAGTATTTTAAAAACCTTTTGTTTATTACATTTCTCTTCTATTAAAGGGCGTCTCCCGAAATTACAATATGGTCCCTTTTTCAAAAATATGGTAGGTTCATTCATATCACGTTTTTTCTTTGCAGTATTATTGCTGAAAAGCTGTTATTTTACTCAGCAAATGTTCTTCAGTTTATGCTTTCTACGTTTTTAAAACACAAACACATGTTTTAATCTTTCTGTCAAAACAGGACGTTGACGATTGTTTAACAGTTTTGAAATAAAACGATTTTTTAAAGTTTTGTTTTGTGTAGCAAAACTGTACTTAATTTTACATGTCTCTATAAAGAAGTGACAGTGTTATCTTTGAAGAAATTATTTGGCATTTTGCCATGTCTGGCTTGAGCTGAATGACTGAAAGGGCACATTTTGTGCTACCATTTTTGTTTTTGTTTTCAAGCGCAAAGTTAATACATAAGGGGATATCCGCACTGTGCTCGTAACGGGTATCAACCCCCGATTTTTAGCGTTATAAGCTCTCAAGTTTACCATTGAGACACTGAGGCTCTTTGTTGTAAGGTTAGAGACAGATCGGCACGAAGGTTACTTCGTCTCGTGACTACTTACTGCAAAACGAGACAACATGTAAAAAAAATGTTTGTTTTTACTGCAAAGAATCCATTGCATTTGTTATCTGTATTTTGTATTTATGGCAAAGCTACTAATGCTATCTGTCGTTGTCCCTAATTTTGAACTACTAATCACAGGGAGGGCAACTAATCAGCAGCACCTTACCACCCATCATACATGCTGAGAGATTGACTGTCACTCTTATAACGCACCCACATCTTAAAACTTGAAGAATATTATGTGGTATCGCACAAAATCCATTGCAGTTTTTATTGAAATAAAGGGTTTTTAAAGATTTGTTATTTTATCAAATAATATCATACCCGAAGCAAGATTATTTTATAGAATAAAATATGGTAATACCAGTCATAATGTTTATAAGATTTTATAAAATTAATGTGAATTAAAGTTTTAATTCTGACCCATATTTTCATTTGTTGTGGAATATTTTTTAGATAGCTTTCAAAATAAGTACTAGTTTCAATTAACAAGTCTTTAAAGAAACAATTTATTTATGAGCCGATTTGCCAACAGTCAGAATAATTCTGAGTGTTGTCAGTAGAGGATTCCTTTTCGTGGTATTCCACCTCACACGACAAGTGATATGACGCCTGAAAAAAAAGCATTAACAAGACATGTAATATACAGTAATTAAATTGCACCGACTTTAATATTGTTCGTATATATACACATACACATATATTCTTGATTATGTATGATGACTTATTTATATTTCATCATTACGTTTATATTTAGTTGATTATTCTTTGATTAAAGCAAATCCAGACGCATTACAAATGTGATAACCAGATGTTCTGAAGCTCTCGTAAGATAACACTACAAATGATTGCATCGTACTGATGATTAACTTTTCTAGTCATTCTAAATTAACAAACATGGTTGCCTTTAGTATAATTTTCTTTAAAGTTTTATGTGTTTCCTTTGATGACCATCTGTGTAAAGCCTACTTAGTACTTGTCAGCGTTTGTCTTGTATATTTATCTCAGGATCAAGTCCTGACAGCCTAATTTGGATTATTGAAGTACTTTGTGGCTACTCGAAGCGTCAAGGGATACCTTACAATAAAATGTTTGATCCAGCAACCAAGATCTGAATAATATCTCGTAACCGTGGTACTGCAAGCCCTGATTGTCTTGTCTTTGTATTTTTCAATCCTTCAACAACCATGCCCTTGTTTCTTAAAAGGTCATTTATGATGTATGGCATTTCTCTATGCGCAATGACGGTTAACGGCTAACTAGGAAATCTCTTTCCATTTCGGAGACAATATTAGACCAAATAGTATAGAATATTCCCAAGGAAGAGAAACCCAACTACAATCTCCTTTCACCAAGGAAATGAAAATCAGTTACTTCTGTCACTCGCCTGGGTGTAATGGCTGCTGACTACCATTGCATGTGAAAGACATATTAGCGACTAGTAGAAACAATTCATCTGCTCACATAGGTGATCTGCTGTGCCTATACTAGGATGCCGTTAGGGCAATACCAGGAAAGCACTACGAGCAATCTATACCTTAATGCTGAGAAAGTGGATATCAAACATAAGTGAAAAGGGTTAATTTCCTATTTTACTGAGTTTACTTTAAAAGATGTGATTTATTTCCTGTAGCATTTTAGGAGTGAGACTTTTTGGAAAAATCGATATCACACAAAGTTGATCCAGAAGCTTTCCCAAAGTCTCAATATCCAGTGCTTGGATGAGCAGAGAGTTAATTGGATTTACCGACCATTACCACTATTATGACAACAACCGGGGATCATTTAAAAACCCAGTTGAGATACAAATTTGAGAATAACGTGTCGACATGCAATGGCTAATTGAAAGAGTACTGGAAAGAACAATGATTCTACTGTTGCTTCTCAGTTTGATTTAAAGTAACAGAGAACCTGAGTCACAGTTAACCATGCACGTAGAATCCAAAATAACGGGTCTCAACAAAAGTGAAAATGTCAAAGCCACCAAAAGAAGTTTGTTTGTTTTTAATTATGCACAAAGCTACACAAGGGCTATCTGTGCTCTGCCCACCACGGGTATCGAAACCTGGTTCCTAGCGTTGTAAGTCCGCAGACATACCGCTGTGCCACTGGGGGCTTTGTGAAAAGAAGTACATGCTTTTATATTGTTGTTTTGGCCTGTAAAAAAATCTGTGGAAGTCAGTTAACATTTGCAATTGAGGAAGTGCAGCAAAACACTAATTATTCATGCTACATTCCAGAACAACCAACCGAACCACTGTTGGAGCTCATGACGTCTGTACTTTACTATGTAGAGAAAAAAACACACCTCAAAATAGAAAGAAAGAAAAAATTAAATTGTGACTTCGACTAACACAATCCAAGACAAATATTTTATTTTGCCAAAATTAATTCCGGGTGAAGATTTATTGAAAAAAGTTATTCAGTTAAATAAGTTCCAAACATGGAAGTACTGATGAAGAAACATCAATATATCCTGCAGCATAGAAGGATTCATCTTTCGTAGAATGGACATCCAATACAAAACTATGCAACGAGTTTTTTTCCAGAAATTGCTTGAATACATATCTCATTACTATAACAGTAAGATTCAAGTCTAGGTACACGGTGGTGAAGTGCTATGTGTGGTCATTTCTATTATATGCTAATAAGACTTGGACAGTTAGCAAAATAATATCTGTCTGTTTGTTGGCAAAGGAAACATGGTTTGTGAGAAGAACTGATTAATTTATTTGTTTTTGTAAATTTCGCGCAAAACTACTCGAGAGCTATCTACGCTAGCCGTCCCAAATTTAGAAGTGACAGGCTAAAGAGAAACATTCCAGTGAACTCACCAACAACCCTTGAACTACTATAATCCAAATAATAGGATTACTCGTCACATTAGAACGCCCCCACAACTGAAAGTGCAAGCACGTTCGGTGATGTGTTTCGAACCCGCTACTCGCAGATTGTCAGATTGTGAGTCGAGCGTTCTAATCGCCAGTTCAGATCAGAAAGATTAATAAAGCAACATTTATCTCGCATTTATTTAAAAGTGAACTATTTGCGAAGACTGAAGTGGTTATAAAACGTCAACAGAATGACTCAGCAGAGATATAAAAAGATGGATGGCCATAGCCGCAACCTCTGAAAAAGAGAAGGCACTCCTGATTTAAGTTTGCGACAGGCAAGTGTAATTAATAGAGAATAATGAAAACCCTAAACAGAACGAAACAAAATGCTGTTTTATGTTGCAAACAAAGATTTATAAACATACCAGAATATGATATTATATACTGTACCATAAAAGCAACGACCGTGGTAGAAACACATCTCTGAAAAATAGGAAGATGAGTGACTCCATCCCTTAATGGATCGTACCAGCTATTGATACCATATCAGAGGCTGGAGTTGCATAGTAGAAATTTTAAATATTCAATTTAAAAAATATAATGTTTTTTTTTTTATTTGAATCTGTTAAATTGGTCAGCATCAGTTAAAAATCACTTTTGAACGTCATAAGTTCATTAAACAATTTATTAGTATCAAACATCTGCAACCACAGTGCATCTCCAATAGTTAGGAGTGTAGAGTACTCTGAATTTACAACTCTTGACAACAGAGAAAGTCTTAACATCACGAAAGCATCCTACCGTATCAATAAACATTAGCCACTTGTACAGAATCACCAACGCTCTCCACGACATATGTGAAGACCTATATATCTCTATTTTAAACATGACGTTCAAGAGCCTCAGAAGTTGATTCACGGGTACATAGAAAAAGGTAACCATACATTATAAAGTCTTGGTATAATATCAAAAATGGATATCTAATGATCCATTATTTTTCGTAACTAAGAGAATAATATTTAAACGAGTCCACAACAAAAATAAAGCGAATTACAATCAGTCACTTGTTAATTTTGAATCATTTACTTACTAGTAAAATGTTTGCAATCATAAAATATACGAAAATTGTAAATATGATAAATTCTAAAGTTTAGGGTTAAGACATTTTAACATAAGTTCTTCATGGTAATTATAACCATACAGAGCAAGAAAAAATAAACTATCTCCGGAAAGAAAACTTCATTTAACACATGAAGCAACATATTAATACCTCCTGCAGCGGAGAAGAATTGATTATTCAGAGAATAGACATCCATTATATAATTATGCAAAGTACTGAGGGTTGACCAGGAGTCGCTTGAAGAGGCATCTCAGCAATAGAACAAATCCAATTAGAGGATGCTGAAATTCTAGGTGTGGTCATCCCTCTTGTATGTTAGTGATACTTTGACAGTTAGCAAAGTTATATCAAACTATTTATAAAACCGAGTTTCGATACTTGTGTCGGGCACAAACTAGATAGCCCATTGTATAGTTTTGTGCTTAACAACAAACAAACAAAGCATCAGCAGTCTTGACCTCCACTTCCTTATATTAAAAACGCAATCCCATCTTATTTACATTGGGAACTTAGTGAAAAAATATACATAACAAATATATAAATGACTAAATAAAGTATAAGAATAACGGTAGGTTGGTGCCAACCGTTTACTTTTGTGGGGGTTAGTAGTTCGAAATTGGTGACGGCACTACGCTACCTAAACTGACAAACGTGCGACGAGAAGACTCCATAATTGGAGGGAGGAGATCCTGTGCTAAACACTTCTATAACTTTTAACCATAGCCATGAAAACACCCACTTGGTAAACTATTTTAATAAATTGTACAACGTGCTTTCTTACCTGTCCAGATTGATTGAAGTTTATCATACTATTTGTTTGATGCCATAAGTGAAGTATGGAAAAAACAAAAGATTACTCTAAATGCAACTTAACATACTTTGTGTTACGCAAATCTAGATGAGTTTAAGGATAGTGTAACGATATATATAATCTTACGTTGATAGCTGTTGTCAAAGTTCGAAGTCCGTGTTTTTTATCCTCTCTCAGAGAAAAGAAAATCACACTTGATGATATTTACTTAAGAAGAGAAATGTCAACGTCTTTGTGTAATTCTTCACATCTGATTACCAAAGTCGTATAGAAATAGATAATTGATAACTTTAACCTTGAATTCTCTTTTGTTAAAAAAGAGAAACAAAACACGACCTATTACTCCAGAAAACAGAATTGGGTTTCTTTAAGCCAAAGATTCGCCATTACGGCTTCATCGAGGCAAACAAGACACTTGCTAATTCGTGATGATGAGGAATTAACTTGAAGTATATATATATATATATATATATAATAGATACGGCTGTTATGGATATTAAAAACTTTCATTTAAAACACAAAACAAGTAACGTTTCGACGTCCTTAGGTCATCATCAGGTTAGAATGACATTAGAAAAAGTGACAGTTATTGATCACGTATAATAAGGGACGACAGTAATGATAGATATATAAGATTATAGGTGTTGTTGTATATACCTAATATATTATATATTGAAGAAAATAATTAGTATACTAATCAATAACGTGATTGGTGTATCCCGCTAAATTTATACTGTCTTTATGCTTCTCTACGACCTCCTAGACCAAATCGATCTCTCAATCAATAGGGATGGAGGGGTATAACGATCAACATCCAGACTGAATAATATACTATCGGGATTGATGACGTTACTACTAGTAAGAATAGTTTTAATAAAATCCTGAACACTTTTTAAGTGTGTAGGAATACAATTCAAACCACTGTGAAGTAGTCTATCTACAAGCTATGGCACTTTTTACGTTGTCATAGGCTGACACAGTGGGACTCAAAGTAGTTTCTTTGTGGTCCTTGGGAAGACTACTAGAATTCAGGTGGTTTATTGTTGTTTGGAATAAGGTTATTCGTTATGCATTTATGAAGTGTTAAGTTTTTAAAGGTTTGTTTAATTAAATATTTACATCTTTTCTCAATGTTATTAGTAGGATTTCGCTGTATTGTTTTGTAGCTATTTTCATTGTTGAGATGGTCATTTATCTTATTAATATACACATCTTTATCTATAACCACAAAACCCTTACTTTTATCAGAAACTTTTATAACTAAATAATCTATTTTATATCTAAGATTATTACGTCTATATTCAATATCCTCATCCACTTTTGGTGGAAACGAAAGTGGTCAATCAAACGGGGATTTTAAAATATTGTGATTATACAAAACGTAGATCTCTTCCTCTCTGCTTTGCATATCACAATATTCATAGATCCACTCGGTAGATTTTGTATACTTCTTTTCCGATGGTTGATCTGTTTCTTTTCTTCCGGGATCAAGGTGGCTTAATGGCCCCACACGTTGAAGTCATAGTTGCGAGTTCGAGGCCGGCTCGCGTCATCATGTTGTGTCTTTGCAAAAGATATACACTCTAGTAGTTTTAGTCTGTCCAGCTAGGGCTGGTTTGGCATTCTGTCCAGGAGACTTGTATCACCATTCTCAGCCGCTTGTGCCAATTAAGCCGAAGTTAAGCACCGTCATCTGGTAACAAGGACATGACATAAAGGTTTAACAAGGGGAAAATAAGGCGAGAGAAGTCTCCAAAGATGACATTACGGAAATCAAACTGGTGTATTTACGTGTTTTACGCTCACTAAAAAGAAACCTATCATTCTATATGTATTTGATGAACTTGTAGCAATCCGCTACAATTTAATTCTTCGTATTGTTAGCTGACACTTGGCAGCTTGTACATAATTGAATAAGTTTGTTTGTTTGTTTGTAATTAAGCACTAAGCTACACAATGGGCTATCTGTGCTCTGCCCACCACGAGTATCGAAACCCGGATTCTAGCGTTGTAAGTCCGCAGACATACCGCTTTGCCAATCTGCCAAAGATGTATATTATGAGTGGTTTGTATATTTAACAAAATACACATAAACATCCACACTTATGTGTATCATACAACTAAAACTACGGTCATGTAACTCATGTTCTATGATGTCTAAAACATAAGACATATATCTGTTATGACGCCTTCTGGTAGATCAGTGGTAACTCTGAGGGCTTTTTATGCTAAAAATCGTTTTCTATACCCGAGGTGGGAAGAGCACAGGTAGCTCATTTTATAGTTTTGTACTCAAAAACAAGCTTATTTATCAGAATGTGTTTCTCTTTGTGTGTATAATTTGACCACTCAGCGCCCCAATTTTCCCAATAATGAGCTATTTTATGTTCGATTCAAAACTATGCATGGTGCACTCTGGAATTCCGTAGGCGTAACAAACAACATACAGAGAGAGAACGATTCTGACGAAGGAATAATTTTTTGGAATGTAGTCATGTTACCAGGGTGGTGTTGGCTTTCTTCATTCCGCAACATGCTGGTCAAAGGTCATACAAAGTTCTATATAAGAGAACAGAACTATCTAACTTACGATCAGAGTTTCGAAACTCAAAAAGGAAAAGGAACAAATTCAGAAAGACAGCTTGTAAGTGAATCATATATCATTGTCATAATTCTTTTCAAGCTCATTATGCTATTAGATTAAGATAAATAAAAAACGACGTTTTTCTGGGGGCACAATGATAGTTAAAACTTTTATTAAATATTTCAGCCGACTACTTTCGAAAACTGTGCTACCAAAGCTAATCAGTCGGCTGAATTATCTAATAAAGATTTTATCTATCATTGTGCTCCCCCCCCCCCAAAAAAAAGTAGATTTTGTTTTTCACTCTTATATTATTACCTTATTGTAATGACAATAATATTTCTGTTAAGGTAAAGCTTAAAGTAATATCATAGAATTAATAAAAACTCACCAGAATTTCACACTCCTAGTGGCTATTGAAAATTACTTTGCTGTACATTGATTGAAATATTAAGTACAGGTTAAACAATCGCCGTTGTTTAGCCTATTCTTTAATATCGATTTCTTTGTCGCCTATGCGGTTAACTATATATTTCCTCTTGAAACATTAAGTGTTACCAACCGAAAAACAAATAAAATTTGTTATAATAGATATTGCTTCTCTTGATTTCGTGTCGATGATCAAAGCTTGTCTAAACTGATTTGTATTAATTTTGACTGTATTTTATTCGTAGCGTTTGACAAACTACAAAAGGTCAGAAGTAACTGTATCGGGCTATAACTACTGTATTACAAATAAATTATACATATTTATCTTGGCTTTTAGATAGTAATAAGCGGTATTTTCTTCTAATACTCTAGGACATAAGGAAGAAAGATGTCCAATACTTCTAAAGCTCTAGGATATGAAAGTGTAGACGCCTTCCTGGAGGAATGCTTGAGAGAAAAACCACCTGAAGAAGTTAAAAAATTCTACGCAAACTGGGCTGCCAACTATGACAAGGTAGGCATAACAAATCCAACTTCTCCTACTCTAAGGTAGGCATAACAAATCCAGCTTCTCCTGCTCTAAGGTAGGCATAACAAATCCAGCTTCACCTGCTCTAAAGTAGGCATGAAAAATCCAGCTTCACATGCCCTAAAGTAGGCATAGCAATTCCAGATTCACCTGCTCTAAATTAGGCATAAGAAATCCAGCTTCACATTCCTTAAAGTAGGCGTAACAAATCCAGCTTCACCTGCTCTAAAGTAGCCATAACAAATCCAGCTTCATTTGTTGTGTTACAACTCATTTGACGATATAATCCTTTATAAACGTTGAACATTTTTAGCTTTGTTAATGATTTTTTTCAGTAGTTATCTTTTTTTATGATTACATAAAAAGTTTTAAACCAATTTATAATTTCTAAGAAGTTAACATATGGCATGAACGTAAGTAATTTTTTGAATCTCACTTATAACTTCCGTGAAACTACCATATAATATAAACGTTTTAGGGTTTCAGTTACTTTAGATGGTGATGGAATAAAAAGTAATGGTAGCACATTTAATTAAAAAAGAATAACAAGTCAGAATTCATTGTCATGAATAGGATGTAGTTGTTTCCTAGGGTTAACAGTTCGTAGTTTTTTTTTTCCATCGCGAATATATAATTATCTAAAATACTACAAAATGCCACCAATTATCTTTCATTTCATTTTCTCCTGTCACGTTTCATCGGCAAGTCGGTATGTAATAAATACAGGTAAGACAAACTTTATTATTTATCCGACGTGTAGAAAGGCAGCGAAAAATGAAGTCACTAAGTTTCAGAAAATTATTAAGTAACGTGATGAGTGATTATGTTTAGCACTTTTTCACCTTTCAAATACCGTGGAAGAAAAAGGAAGCTTTTCAGGGACGCTATCATATAAAATTATTTACCACATTTTAATGAATCAATCATATGGCAACTGTTGCTTTAGAAAAGGGACTTAACAAATCTTCAAACGATCACGACATTTAAACGAAACACTTCTTTATATTTAGCAACACAAATATTCGCAGATTTAAGTTCATGAGATAATAAGGTAATTAGATCATACTAAAAGCTTGTAAGTGAAAATATAAAAAAAATTACGAGACTTATTTCCAATTCAGTGACACTTCCTGAGTTCAGATCAGTACACTGATCACATGTCACTGCTCTATCATTGAATATACTGGTTGTATCATCACACAAGTTCGGCAGAAATATCTAACGTAATAACTACAACATGTAGAAACACATAATATCTTATGTAAACATTTTATAACAAAAATAAAGTGATTAGTTTGGGGAAACATGTATATATTTCAGGGGTAACATAATAACAAAAGAACACTTCAAAATCCTTAAGCGCACTAGCATTCCTTATTATAAATAAATACATCTATATCTATCATTAACTAAAACAGGCATTTTCTTGCAAGGTTTTTGAGTCATTTAAACTTACCTTTTTGAGTCCTTTAAACTTACCATGCACCGGAAAGGAAACCCTTTTAATAAATTGTTTATTTCTTAACAATGAGATTTCAATACACAGTCACCAAATTGCAAAACAAAAGAGATTCATTTTAAAGTATGCCCCTGCCCAGGGTTCGTGAAAAATCGAGTTTCAATACCCATGGTGTGTACAGCACAGATAGCCCAATGTGTAGCTGTGAGATTAACAACAAACAAACATTTTCATGCAAATATGATTGTTTTGTTTTTGAATTTCGCGCAAAGCTACACGAGGGCTATCTGCGCTAGCCGTCCCTAATTTAGCAGTGTAAGACTAGAGGGAAGGCAGGTAGTCAT